GCAGGGAAGCTCAACTGTCTGAAGGAGGAACTTCAGAAACGTTTTTAGCGGCGGTGATTCAGTACGTGTTGGCCAGGAAACACCTCCCGCCCGGCTCCGCTCCGGTCACTGCTGCTGTTCCTCATTTAGGACTGGTGAACGGTTCCTCCAAGGTGAAGAAAACGTGCTCCTGCAATTCAACCCTTCGGAAAGTGCAGCTCCTCCATGCCTGCAATCCCGACCAGCCCTGGGCCAAGTGCGGAGGCACCTGGGCCATGCGCCCACAGCCCGTCCGTCCTCCACGGAGCAGCCCGCCCGGCACGCTGAGAGGGCAGGAACAACGAGATGTCTCGGAAGAAGTCAATGCAGTCACACTTTAATGTGCTTTTACATCCTTTTACGATTCACAAAGCCAGAATATAAGTACTTATACATTTTTAATAGGAAAGTAATATATTCCCCTAAAAGAAAAATAGATTTGATTAATCATTTGTCATAAAAGTTGCCCGACGGTTGAAACGTCAAGCTTCTAAGCTAGAAAAGCTCAAATAGACAAATTATACTGAAATGTTCTTTAAAGACCAAGGAGCCGTTTTATTAAAATATTAAATTTACATTTTAAAAAGAAATACTCTGGTTTATTATTCAGTTATGATAATCTTAGCGAGCTGACACGAACTCACGTCCTGTCCAAATCCGGTCCCCGGTTATCCGTAGGCAATCAGTTTTGCCATTCTTTAGAACTGGGCAAGATCACACACGCACAGAGAAGCACCGTTTGGGAAAGACCGATCCGAGACCCTGGGATTCAACGCGACTCGAATTTTCCCCAGAGAAAGCAAGTTTTGGGTCTGGGATTGGGTCTGGACCCAGCGCCCACGGCTCAGCCCCAGAACCCGACCGGAGCTCAGCGGCACAGGCAGCACAACGAGGGTTTCAGACCCCACCAACTTCGTCCCACAGCACCAGTGAATGACCTTCAAACAACTTGAAGCAGGTTGAATTTACATTTTACTTCAAAAAAAAAAAAAAAAGGAAAGTACATACATGAGGGGGGAGCAGGGGGAACAACAGTTATCTGGAACCAGGCTTCGGCCGCTTCCGCCTCCAATTAGCAACTGCGTTCGAATCAGCCGGGCTCTGGCCAGCTGTCGCGCGCTTCCTTACAGAGCAAACTGGGTTGTGGATCAAGGAATGGAAATAGTAAGATATCATACACAATGTAAGTTTATAGTACACAGCTTGGTTTTTTTTGTTTTTTTTTAAATGACTTAATGCAACAGCAGGAAGGAGTAGTAGTAGTTAACAGCTACTAACACTAGAATAATCAAATTTGTATGTTATACATATACAGCAACTAACTGCTTTACAAAAAAAGCAAAATAATACAATATATTGTCACATGTATTTACAGTGTAGTAAATATACTTTTCTGTCAAATTTTACACAAAAACTATTTACAGGTGAATATACTGCGTTAAAAAAAATGGTGGGACCAACACTAAAAGTGACTTTCTGTGGTAAGTTTGTTGCATAACAATAAGACGTGCTTCCTTAGGTTGGAAAAAAAAGAAAGTAACTCTAGAATGAAACAGAAAAAGCCCTAAAACCTACAACCTGGTTAGGGAGAGAGCCCTGGAATGCCCCGGGGGGCTCAGTCCATGATACTTAGTTGAAATGTTTCCTGCTCTTGGAAACCTCATGCACATTAAAGCAGGAACATTGGCATGATCAACACGGAGGTTATGCACTACTCAAATACTACGGAATTATCTTTTAAGTCGGGGAGAATACAAACACAACCCAAATGTTAATCATCTTCACAGGACTGGACTGTCGTTAGTGTGTGACAGGTGACGTTCTAGAACAGGGGTGTCAAGCATGGTCCCCGGGATGCAGTTACGTGGTCCACACCTTAAAATCGGAGTTTTCTGCACCAAATTCTTCATTTCAAAGTGCACCAACCCCGCCAGCCGCAGAACACCGCCACTACTTCTTTCTTACAAACGCCCCCCCCCCCCCCCAGCCGCAGAACCCACCCCCGGGAGGAACTCGAGTGGCCACTGCCCGGCGCAGCACCTCGAGGCCAGAGCACTCGGGTCCGTCTCCCGCTCGTTAGGTCAGGGTTGGAGCCCACATCGTCAGCGGCCACTGCCCAGCGGTCACCGCGAGCAGCGAGGGGACGGGGAGAAGGGGCACAGGCTGGGCTGGGAACGGAGGGGTGTTCAGAGGAAGGGAGAGGGGCGGGATGGAGAATGTTCAAAACAGGCAAAGAGACGGCTGAAGGAGGGCGTGAGAAAGGAAAGGCCCCACAGCAGCGAGGGCTG